AAGCAGGGGGGGAGCCACTGGCCTGGCCCCTACGTGAGGGGGAGGGGAAAAGAGAGGTACTGGCTTTGCTCACCTCGCGCCCCAGCCCCTACTTGGAGGGCAGTGAGGCTCAGGGCTCACCCCCAGAACTGGAGGAACACTTCTGGGGAACTGGGATTAGTAGATTTTTGTGGAGTCCTGTAAGATCTACGTTGGAGCCAAAACTGGGGTTCAGTGTGCAGGAGGGGACTGCTAGGTTGTGGGATCTGGCCAGGAGGTAGGGTACAAAAGCAGGGTGGGAGTGTGGGTCTGTCACAGCTCCTGAGAGAGGCGCAGGTGGCTCCATGTGGCCTTGCACTTGTGGGCACTGCTCCCTCCCCCTCACTGGCCACAATTCCAGGTCAGTGGGAGCAACGGGGATGGAGCCTGTAAATGAGCACAGGGACAGAGCATCTCTTCACTGAAGTTCCCAGAGCTCTGCCCTTTTCCTCCTTGGTAGGCATAGCCTGCAGGCCCGACACAGCCTGCAGTTTACCTTGATCTAGGCTACAAGGCTCAGAGCCACCTCCTGACCCCACTCTGAGCTGGCCAGATCCAGGCAAGCTGAAGACCATAAGTTCCCCATTTCTGCCCTAAGTGATGGGCAAGTAATAGGCAGCCCTGGCCTAGTTTCTGCTGTGCAGGGTGTGAATCCCAGATTGCAGCTGTGCTCTGGACAGCATCAGTCTGGTGTGGAGATGCAGGTGGGAGCCAAGAGTGCTTCTTGCACTTTTCACTCTGGGGCCATCTTAAATGTGGGAAGGCACAGCTATGATCTAATTTGGAGCCATTCTATGAAGATCTGAACCTTGGATGTCACCAATGTGGTGGTTCCAGTGGAATGACATGCACCCAATCCAGCTGATTGCTGTGTAGGTTGACACTTTGGTTGGCATTTGTAGATGGTCTTCTGGATTTTGGACCTTCCATTAAGAAGTGTTTTTGAAATAGGGATCTCTTTCCCATCATGCTGGCCCTCATAGAGGCCAAGATATTAAGTTGTGGTCTTCTCTCCCATGCTGGTTCTCATGGGAACCAAGCAGTCATTTCCATAAAGTGAATCCTTGTTTCTGAGGCACCCATCAAAATGTTTCAAATGGCAGTTATAGCACTGTCCTGGGGGACAGTCTGTTTGAGTACAGTGATCTCGCAATATATTTGAAGCAGATTAACCATTTTCCTATGTCATCAGAGTTGCTAAACTGGTTTGGGCTAGCCAAAACAGAAAATATTTAAGTTGGAAACAACTCAAACCTGAACTTTACTTGTGTTCTTTCAAATCTATATGGTTTGAACTTGGATGTTGGGGTTTATGCTTTTGGTGCTGAATGTCCCAAGTTCAATGCCCCCACTCACAACGGTGATTTATTTGGCCAGAACTCGTTACAGTAATATGGTTTTAAAATAATTTTGTAATTTAGTGCTAGACAGAAAAAAGGGGCTTGCAACAATCATATTGGGACAATAGTTAATTGTGGTTAATTGCCATTTTTCCAACATGGTAGTTACAGCATGGACTGTGCAAGCATTATACACTGGGCCCTATACAAATTCTTGTTACAGAGAGTTGCATACTGCCTGAAACGGCTTACCTGTTGCCTGGAGTGCATAACCTCTGCATGAATTGGGAGAATACATGGTTTTTGTTTAGATCTGAGGGTCAAAAAGATCCACATGCAGCGTTTTGGTTGGACAGGTATAAGGAAAGGATGTGAGGGGGAAAGGGGTGAGAGGGGGAGGGGGGGAGAGAGAGAGAGAACACTTTCTGTGACAAAAGTATCTCTCTCTTCCTACCAAGACAGCGTGATGGGATAGGGGAGTTAAATAGCCATGCAACTAGCACTTTTCTCCAACGTTGTTGGCATAATGCTACCTTCACATTTTGTAGCAACAGAAAAAAGGTTTGTCCAGTTTGTGCAGAATAAAAATAACTTCACTTAATGACCATATTGTCCTTAGGTATTCCCAGTTTTGAAGGATATTTGTCTTTGAATGAGATTTACAACCTAGTTAAAGAAAGTTCTGAAACTGACAGAACAACCAGGGTTTCAATATACTTGTCTTCTCTTGCTGTGTTTACAGCTATATTAAGCTGTAGCTCTCTTAAAATAATTCTACCTCATGTTTGGGTAACAGTATGCTATAAATTCCAGCATACTTTTCACACTATTCCACAAATAAACTAAATGGGAACTTAGGAAGCATGTTAGTCTACTGTAGAATAGGGATGCACTAGTGTAGTAGATTAACCAATAAGCAAAAGCTTATAGGTTAATGCTATAGACTACATGTATCTTCCCCCTCCCTCTCAACAGCCTGTCTCAGTCCTGGCTTGCAATGGGCCCAGGACCTATTCCCGCTGCAGCTCTGCATTTAAAGTGTTGCTAGGAGGTAGACGGGCAAACAGCTTGGCTCAGTTCCAACTCACACTGGGTCCAGGAACTCAGACCATCGCACCCCCCCTCCCAGGGGCTGCTGCCACTCCTATATCAGAGGCAGCAGCAAAGCGGGGGGGAGCCAGTCCATGAGGGGAGAGCTGTTTTTAACCTGGCTCCTCTCATGGACCAGCCCTGCCTGGCACTCCATGTTGCTGCCTCTGAAACAGAGGCAGCAGTGCGGAGTGGCAAGGGGCTCCTTGGGAATGAAGCCAGAGCACAGTGACTGCCGGACCCATCCCCAGGGACTTTCCGAGGTGACTGCCGGACCCATCCCCAGGGACTATCCGAGAAGAATTCATGAGGTTACTCAATTATTCAATTAACTGATATTTAACATCCCTACTCTAGAAAAAACATACAAGGACTGACATTTTCCACAGCTGACAGGAGATTCTGACTTGCATCTCCCATGAAGTTGAATAGAAATTGCATCTAAACTTCTTAGGTGCTTTTGAACACTTTAAACAGCTTGGTTTAATCACAGATGTATTTTATAGTGCATCAGGGCTGGTCTTGGTGATAGCAGAGCTTTGTGGTGTGTGCAAGGTGCACTGAAAAGAAATCCCCTCTTGTGAAAGGAACACTGTGCCTTGGAGTGATTGGCCTGTGCAGTTCCCAGACATAGCTGAGTGCAGCTCTGTGTGCTTTCTATTATCCCTTGTGACTCCTGTTCTCCACAAGCCTATGACCTTGCAGATACACCCTACACAACAAAGGAAAACCTGGGTCAGTAGCTGAGATTTAGTACTCAAGGAGATGTTTATTCTGTAACTAATTCCAGTGTTAGCATTTGCAGGGAAATTGGTTGTCCCTCAAGAACTAAAGGGAAGACTTTCAGAGGCACAAAGGGCATTTAGCTGCCCCACTCCCATTGAAAATCATAATTTGGGAATCTACCTGTCCTTTATGCCTTTGAAAATCTCCTGCTATAGTGTTATCAGTTTGTGCTCAAAACCATCTTTCAGGGTATTAACACATTTTTTTTCTTTCAGCGACAGGGGATTGGAGAGCCCAGTGTGTACCATGCAGTGGTGGTTATTTTCCTGGAATTTTTTGCCTGGGGGTTACTCACGACCCCTATGTTAACGGTGAGTTACTGACTTGTGCTGAGGCTAACATTGCTGAGATTGAGGATTTCTGTGAAGATCTGTGTGCAGTTTGGGTCTGAAGCAGAATCTATAAACTACAGTATTCTAGTTGTAGAACTCCTTCTTGGAAAGTACTTTATATATGGGAATTGCTGCAGCCACATCTTGATGGAACATGGCAATTATTTAAAAGCATGTAAGAACATTGCTTAACAATTTAGGACAGATACCGAAGAATATATTATTTGAAATGGAATGGAGGATCCAATGACCAACTTTTGCACCTGTGCTGAGACATTGGTTTAATATTGATGTAGAGATAGCATTGTCTCTGAATTATCAGCACCACTCCCTGCTTTGAGCCCTTCCAACAATTTGATGAATTATCAGCACCACTCCCTGCTTTGTCAAATTGTTGGAAGGGCTCAATCTTTCTGATCTGGAACCTTGCCAAGATCTCAGTTTGGAGTGACAGACTGTGATGTAGCCATGTTGGTCCTAGAATCTGAGACAAGGTGAGAGACAAGATAAAATGACTTGCTGGACAAACCTCTGGTAGAAGACAGAGCTTATGCTCAGCTGTTCTTCATATCTGGCCTAGAAGAGCTGTATGTAAGCTTGAAAGTTTTTCTCTTTCACCAACTTCAGTTGGTGAAAATAAAATATATTACCTCACCTATCTTGTTCCTGTGATGACCGATATAGGTGACAAAGGAAATGTTACAACAAAACCAAGAACTAAGGGGTAGATTTATCAAAAACTAGAATTCCCAATTCAGTTATTTGTCCTGAATTTGACTTAAGTGACTGGAAACCTCCAAGTTGGCAGCTTCAAGAGGGTTTCTCAGTTTTCAGAACTTATTTTCAGCAGCTGGTATGACTAGTCACATTAGAATTTAATGTACCGTGCTCATTTCTGGGATCTAAGTAATCTGTTACAAAGAAGTTCTTGTTCTCAAAAGAAGTACGTTTAATAGTATGAAAAGTAAGTCAAGTAGATGAGGGATACAAAAACAGGAAGATGGTGAGTACTTGTTGAGGAGAAATGGGGATTAGGCAGATGGAGCAGTGGTGGAGAAATGTTTGTCTGAAAATGGTCTCATAGTGTTAGAGAAACGTGGCCACAAGCTCACTGCCTCCCCAAATCCAACACAGTCACTCATAGTGTGTACCAAGGAGAAGTGGCTGCTGATGGCATAAATAACAGTAGGGCTCCATATACTTTGTTAGCAAAGCATGCATCTGTGGTGACTGTGGCCCGGGAATAGGAGTGTCAGTGCTGTGGGCAAACTTAGGCTGCAGGCTTATTTCATCTCTTGGCCTTGAACAGCAGACCATCGTGACAGATCTGTAAAATAGTTGACTTGGTCTCCACAGGTGTTACACCGGACTTTTCCTCAGCATACATTCCTGATGAATGGCCTGATCCATGGGGTTAAGGTAAGGAATTCTTTCCTTCCATGTTAAAGAACCAATGCTGTAGAACCACGGTGGCCAGGCCATTTACCATTGGGCTTTGTTCCAATCTGAGCAATGGAAAGTCATCCTAATCAGAGTGCGGTTTAGTGTGGTTAGTCTAATCTACAGTGAGCAAGTGGACACATTATTGGCAAGCACAGCAGATGGGCAGTCCTGTTTTCATGCCCAGTTGATTCTGTATGCTCACCCATTTAGGTATTTTCTTCCAGAATAGAACTAATAGTTTGCTGGATAGCTCAAGAAACCTAAACCCCTTACTGTGCTTGCAGCTAATAACATTCCAAAACAGCACAAATACCCTCGTGACCAGATTCTAGATAGGGGTGGGCAAGATACGGCCTGCAGGCCAATATGCAGACCACTCCACTGGGACCCACGGGCACAAAGCAGCCCATGCCACTTTGAGTGGCGCAAGCTGCTCCTTATGACTCTCTGTTCTGGGTGCCTGTTTTCAGCCAATAGGAGCTGAGAGATTTTGCTGGGGGATGGGGGCATGTGCAAAGTCTCTCCCCCCCTTGCAGAGAGCCCTAGAGAGCCCTTTTGAGTGATTTAGGGCTGCTGTCAGGCATTGAACCTGCCTTAGGGTCCTGCAGGGCTGCATGCCAGGAGCAGCGTTGGTAAGGTCCTCCTGGCCAGAGCCTGCCTCTGGCATCCATCCTCTCCCTGCATCCTAACTTCCTGCCCCAGGACCCCACCAAAACCCCCTCTACCTTCCCTCCTACCTTCCTCCAGGTCACAACCCCCACCTTCACCCAAACTCCCTCTGACCCCCCTCCCCGCATCCCAGTCCCCTACCCCAAGCTCCCTACTGCATCAACGAGACCCTGCACGCCCTCCATAGAAAAATGCAGCCTGTGACTACTTGAGGTGGTTCCCCCATCAAAATTTGCCTACCCCTGTTCTAGACCATAAGAAAACAAAAAATTGGTAGTTAACTCGAGTAATGGAATTAAAAACAATGTAAGCATAGAAACTCAGCTCTCTCAGGGTGAAACGAGGTGTACCGGTAGTTCGGAATAGGCACCCTAGTCCGAACTACCTAGTTCGAGCCCCGTGTAGCCGCGCTGCACGGGGTTCGAAGCAGCGGGGATTTAAAAATGGCGGGGTCCCGCCTATTCCCGGGCTTCATTAGCACTTAGGGTATGTCTACACTACCCTCCTAGTTCGAACTAGGAGGGTAGTGTAGACATACCCTCTCAGTGGAAATTAGTGATTAGAGTCATGTAGCATCTGGTGAAATGTTAGAATTGCCCAGCACCTATGGGGGATTTACAGAAGCTGGCAAGCACTGAGACACAATCATTTTATAATTTGCTTGTTAACATGGCAGAACTGATCTTTGAGCTGGGCATCAATTTTAGCAGGAGCATGCCAATAAAAGGAGCATGACTGTCGTTGATTTTTTTTTTCCCCCCTCAGGAATAGGGCAGCACTGACAATTACACGTACACCTTAAGGAGCTCATTCTCCTGTTTTGTCATGGGCCTGAGAGACTTCTAGATATGGGGAATCACAGGGTCTGAATGGACTTGATCTCTCTTCTGATAGAGGCAGCAAAGGGGGGGAAGCGACTAGTCGAGTCACTATTCGACTACATCCCTACTCTCTTCACATCCAGCAGGTCTCAATGTAAAGCCAGAACTTTCCTTGGACTGCAGCAAATGTTGACATTTTGGAGCTTTGCCAGCATCTTTGCATTGTGGCATGGGCAACTCCCTGCTGTGCAGACAGGCATAGGAAGACCTGAGCACTTAGAGAAAAGAGAAATAATTTCTGAGCATCTAGCCGTTTTAACTCAGCCATCTAATGAATGCCATGTTTTGATAACCTTGGCTTTTCTTAGAAAACCAGCACCGTGTATGACCTACTCTTGTCATTTGTACTGGTTACATTGCAGTTCTTACTTTCCTATTGACAACCAGAGAGAAGATGGCAGTGTAATTTATACCTGATATGAACCCATCTCATTGCAGTTCTTACTTTCCTATTGACAACCAGAGAAGATGGCAGTGTAATTTGTACCTGATATGAACCCATCTTTCTTCTTCTAGGGTCTGCTGTCCTTTTTAAGTGCCCCACTGATTGGTGCTCTCTCTGATGTCTGGGGCAGGAAGTCCTTTCTTCTCCTCACTGTGTTCTTCACTTGTGCACCAATACCTCTCATGAAGATCAGCCCATGGTTAGTCTGTGCCTGTAATGGAGATGATGTGACGATGCAGTGATATGGGAGGGATCGACCCAGAAGATGAGCAAGCATGTGAAGAGAGGGAATTTGGAGGTGTAGTCATTTAAGAGGGTGGAGTTAGGAGGATCTAGAAGGTCAGTGACTGTGGAGAAGACTGAAAGTGCTTGTATGATGAAGAAAAGGAGCCTAAAGAGGCACCCTTTCCTTGACCCCTCCCCCCCGAGCTTCCTTCCCACGTTGTCCCGCCATTGGATTCTAACGCCCGTAAAAAATGCCTTCTCCCATTACTAAACACTGTGTCAGTACTGAGTCACATTGATATTCCCTTTCTGTGCGAGACCAACCGAAAATGGGTCTGGACTGGATTTGCAAGCCATGAAGTGTGAGCAGAAAAGAGCCCAGATGTGTTTCTGAGCACGTCAGGATGAAGTAAAATAAAATAAATTGAAGCAGGGGTGTGGAGAAGACTGTAGTTCAGCAGCATTAAGCTCCTGTGTTGGTCGTGTGGTTCCCTCTAATTCTGACCCTGGGACTATCTTTCAGGTGGTATTTTGCAGTCATTTCCATGTCTGGAGTCTTTGCTGTCACCTTCTCTGTGATTTTTGCCTATGTTGCTGATATTACACAGGAACATGAACGCAGTACAGCTTATGGCTTGGTAAGGACATGCTGCAGCAGTTTATTCCCTAAAGAATTACTCCAGCTCTCCAGAATCCAGAGAGTTGGAGAGGTGGGTGGGGGAGCTTTCATAAGAGGGGCCCATGTGTATTGTACTTTTGCTCTGCTCACAATGTATTGAGTCCATGGCTGATCCCATTCCTAACTCCAGGTGGAGCAACATGTTTAGAAACCAACCCCAGAGCCTGGTGCTGTGAAATCTGAAATCCAGCTGTATTGTCCTTTATAGCCCTTTCTCCAGCTCGTGGCTCTAGTCCATGCTTTTTGTGAACTCGTGTACATTTCCTGACCCAGTTACTGGTGGCATGTTGGCTCCATGCAAACACAAATAGAACAACGGTTGTGCACCTGAGGCTTCTGCTGAACTATTCTTGCATAGTATTATAATAGGATTACTGAAAACTCCTTAAGCATTGGCTGAGATGCCTCTATCACCCATTGTCATGGCCTAGCCTGAACTATCAGGAAATAGTAGCACATTTCTGTGTTGATGTGGTTTGGCTCTTCTAGAGTTAGTGGAGCTGATGGCCTTGGAGTAGAAAAGAGTAGGTACTGGCAAGAAGATGCTAATAACACTTGTATTTACACTGCAGGTGTCAGCCACTTTTGCAGCCAGCCTGGTCACAAGTCCAGCAATTGGTGCATACCTGTCCCAAACCTATGGTGACACACTGGTGGTGGTGCTGGCTTCAGGGGTTGCTCTACTGGATATTGGCTTCATTCTGCTAGCTGTACCAGAATCTCTGCCAGAAGAGATGCGCCCTGTGTCTTGGGGAGCTCCCATCTCTTGGGAACAAGCAGATCCATTTGCAGTAAGTATTTGCTACTTGCTGTTTTTTCACTCTAGTTTAATTTCTAGAGCGATTTCCCCAAGTTCCATGTTGGCTCTTCTAATAGGAGGGTGAAAATAAAGGGAATCACCATGCAAGAGACAAAGGATGTGAATTAAAACATAATTGTATCGGGTGCAAGGATGATGTCTGCCTGTGTCCAGCAGTTCGCCTGTGCTGGAAAATCAGTTCTCAGTGGACATGGCTAAATAATGTCTCAGGCCAGGTCTAAATTTGGGGAGGGAAGTCAATCTAAGATACGTAACTCCAGGTAAGTGAATAGTGTGGCTGGAGTCAACCTACCTTAGGTCGAATTTCTGCGGCATCCCTACTGCAGGAGGTCTTTGGGAGAAACTCTTGTCGACTTCCCTTACTCCTTGTAACCCAGTGAAGTACTAGCACTGACAAGAGTCGGATTAGCAGTTGATTTAGTGAGTCTTTACTAAACCTGCTAATTAGAACTCTGGAAATTGATTTCTGCAGAGTAGCTCTCCTGGTAAGTAGAGATAAGCCCTAAAAACTGCTCTTTGTGTCCCTGAATAAAGATAATATTTTGGTTGAAGTGACTGATGGTTTGAATGTAAATCCTATTGCTTTCCAGATATACTCTGTGTAGTCAGGAAAAACACCTACCTTGTCACTGCTTCTGTTAGCCTGGGGAAGTGCTGCTTGGGTCTAGGGATGTAAAATCCCATTTAATTAGTTAACTCATTAAATGTCCAGTTTGTGTTTTCTCTTCCAGTCTCTCCGCAAAGTGGGTCAGGATTCCACTGTGCTTCTCATCTGCATTACTGTCTTTCTCTCCTACCTGCCTGAAGCCGGCCAGTACTCCAGTTTCTTTCTGTACCTCCGACAGGTCAGTCAGTGGGGTTAGGATACACATTTTGAAATCAAAGGGTTGTAATGCACATTGTACTCAAGCATTTCTTCTATTTCCTTCCTGGGGGAGGCAGCTTCTGCCCAGAGATCCTAGGCTGTGGGAGTTTGCAGCTTGGCTGCACACGAGCAGTCCTGGGTTGCTGGTGCTGACCAGAAGCTAGTTCCCAGTAAGGGTGAAACTGTATCAGTAACCCATTGTCTCTTGTGGACAATGCAGTATTTCCATGAATGCTGGTTAACTGTGCAACCCTAATGTATCTTGTGAATGCAGTCCCCAGGCTAATCACTAGCACCTGCCCTCTATGCTTACCCACCTGGGACAGGGTGGCCATTCACTTAGTTACCTCGTTAGCTCAAGGAACATTCTCCATCTTGTCTCTGTGGAGGCTTTAATGTTCATTTTCCCGTGAGGAGGTGGAGGGTACAGAAGTTTAATGTGCGAGCTACTGGTACTACATATTAGTAAGACTAGAGATTATTCTCATAGTGTGGCTTTTCTCACGTGCAGTACAAAACCCTGTGTCTGAAATAGTGTCCCCTTCTGGTATCTTTGCAGGTCATTGGATTTTCCTCAGAGACTGTGGCAGCCTTTATTGGTGTGGTTGGAATCCTCTCCATATTGGCTCAGGTGAGAACCCATTTTCTGCCCCGTTCTCTGGGTACTACTCGCACGCCCACTGGTCATGAAGATACACCAATATTTGTGTCCTTGAGGATTGTATTGGCAACTGCCAGAATCCCATTGCAAAGCCTTACCTATGCATGTTACATGCTGCAGGACGGCTCACGGGTGTGATGAACCTGGCTGTAAGGAGAGTTGCCTCATTCTTCTACATCACTTTCTTGTGCAGTCATGTTGCCTCCTTTCTCCCAATTGTAGTTTGGTAACATCCCCTCCTTTCCTCTTTCCAGACAGTCGTGTTGGGGATTCTCATGCGTTCAATAGGAAACAAAAATACCATCCTCTTGGGCTTAGGCTTCCAGATTCTACAGCTCGCCTGGTATGGCTTTGGGTCTCAGCCTTGGTAAGATTGGCAATATCAAATAAACAGTTGGCATGTTTCTCACCCCTCCCCTCCTTAGGTAGCTGCTTGTGTCCAAGGCAGTTTTCATTTTGCCACCAGAGGGAGATATTTGTCTGTGATTCCAGCCTTAGCTTGTGATACTCCATCTCTGTGGAAAGCTCTCCTCCTTTCTGCTTAATGCAGCTGTTTTTAATGTGATTCACGGACCCCTGGGGGTCTGCAGACTAGTTAAGACTTCCAAAGCGTCTTCATCTCCATGCAACATTTTTTTAGAGGTCCACAAACGAAAAAAGATTGAAGAGCACTGGTTTAAAGGGTGGCTTTCTTTCTCTCTTGCAGGATGATGTGGGCAGCAGGAGCTGTAGCTGCCATGTCTAGCATCACTTTTCCAGCCATCAGTGCTATGGTATCTAGGAATGCAGATCCCGACCAGCAGGGTATGTCACTCTTGTTGCGTTTGTCTAATGTTTGGATTAAAATTTATCCAGCAGTTATCCTGGCAAGTTTTCTAGCTCTTCTGCATGGTGGGGAAGGAATGCTAGTGGTGCTGTAGGGAATACCCCTGTGGAATTCAGTGAACATCTGAGTGCTCTCTGTGCAGAATTTTGGTATGGCTTCAAAGTTGTATGTATGTCAATCACTTGACGTTAATTGTCTGATGTGGACAACATGAGAACTTTTAATGGGCACCTGTATGCTGTACTGGTTTCCAGGAACTAGTTCACACCATCAGCCTATCAAGACTGGTATTTGCCTTTATCGATACCTGACGTTTGAGAGGGTTTTGTAACATTCCATAGTGCTTAAGTGCAACACTGAACATCTGTGTGTTTGAGGTAGGAAGTTCTTTAACCATCTACCTGCTTTGAGTTTATGCCCTGAATCATGAGATCATATTGCCTCTAATTCATCCTCCTGTGTTCAGCTATAAGAAGTCATCACTTACCTGTACTCATGCTCTGGGAAATGGCAGCTTGACTCTTTAGTTTGTGGGGAGATACAGCTGCACAGGAGCTGAGATCTATTTTCAAGATTCATTGATTTGTGTGTGTTCACTAGATCTTCTGGATATGGACATAACCCTGTTCTTGGGCATACAGATGTTTTGCCTATAAAAGACATGCTCTTGAGACAGCCAGAGGCTTACATCTTCCCTGTCTTCACTTTTTCTCTCAGGTGTGGTTCAGGGGATGATCACTGGAATTCGGGGGCTCTGTAATGGGCTAGGGCCAGCTCTCTATGGCTTTGTCTTCTATCTGTTCCATGTGGAATTGAATGAAATGGCTGAAGTAGAAACCCTGGGTAAGGCCACGAAGGTCATGGTCAACCCTACTGATGAGGTATCCTATCCAGCTTCATCACTATATTTGTTTGTCTGTATTCTCACTTCAGTGCAACTTACAGCATTAATCATTCCTGTACTTTGCTTTACAGAGTAGCATTATCCCGGGGCCCCCTTTCCTCTTTGGAGCATGCTCGGTCCTGCTGTCGCTCCTAGTGGCCTTGTTCATTCCGGAACACAATCTTGCATTGAGATCGGGCAGCCATAAGAAACACAGCAATGGAGCCCAGACCCACACCCACAGCCCACAGGCTGGAGGATCAGATGGCAAGGAGCCCCTACTGGAGGACAGTAGTGTATGAGTATGGAGGGGAGAACGTGAATCTCTTGCATTTCAGCTCCAAGCCAAGGATGGACTGTATCGACTGGAGTTGGGGTGAGAATCGGGGGACATAATGGACTGTGCCACTAACAGCTAATGAGGGAGGGAAAAATTGTCCTTCAAAGCCAAATACATCCAGATGGTGCAAAAAAATAATGAGATTGTACCATTTGGTGCTGAAGGAAGAAGAGAGACTGCACCATGTGAAGGAATAGTTCTTAAGGAAAACCTGCTTTTGTATGTGAATGGTGAACTTCAGTGTCACCTGCCATATATTCATCTGCCAATGAAAGTGAGGAGCCAGAATTCTATCCCTCTTTTTTCATATACACTGAATGAGCTGACAGCGAGAGAACCGAGGCATCAGTTACATGTCTTTTTCCCCCAATATAATCAGTGCTAGCCTCTGGCCTGCCTGTACTTGATAGGCTAAACTACTTCAGGCTGAGGACTGGGCAGGTATAGAAATCGCAGCCCAAGCCTGTATATTCAGCTCATCTTGAAAATACAAGATGGTCTGGTACACGAATACAGAATAATGAGTGTGTAGAATAGACTAGTCAGTCTGCATCTGAATATATTCTTACTACTTGAGGGTCTGATGAATTTGCCTATTCCAGCCCATATAATAAATCAGGCAATTGTGTTTTAGCACTGTTCTAAAAGAGGTGGCAAAAGTAAAGGTTCAGCTGTCACTCTGCCCTTAACTCACACAGGAGTGTCGAGGTGGTGAAAAGGCAGTTGTGAGTTATGAACTCAGTAAGCTTGAATTTCCTGTTTTGGAACAACTACAGTTACTTGTAGCATTTTGTCTGCAGTTCCCTCTTCTGGAAGTGGATTGAGAGGTTTCCAAAGAAACCTTTCATGGAACTGGAAGATTAGAAAACGTACTTCTCAGAGTTCAGAGAAATGGCGTCATCCCTGTTATGCCCTTTTATAAAACCATATTAGTTCCCCTAGACTGCTGCTATCTGATAATGGCTGTCTAGAAGTCACAGCTCAGCCATTCTGCTCAATCCATCAGTCTGAAAGGCTGCAGCACAAACACTTACATTATAGTGGACTATAGATTTGAATTCCACTTGGCATTTCTGGACCGTCTACCGGGGACAGCCATCTTACTGAAAAATGACATCTTGGTGTCCTCCGCTCTAGGGTTGAGTTAATTTAGAGACGAGCAGTGAAGCCAAGCAAAGGCTCAGATACTGAGTAGTGTGGGAATAATCAAGAGAAACGTGCATGTTTGTTTGAGGGTTGCTTAGTGATATACAGATAGATAAGGGGGCATTCAGAGGAGCAGAAACAATTGTTCGCATCAGTCTGGGAGATCAGTCAGAAGAAATAGGCTTAAGCACTTACAGGGAAAATGTAAATCAAATAGGAGGAGAAACCAGTAAGCCAGTGGACACAAAAGCAATAGAGCTAATGAAAGGGGCTGTGGATTCCTCCACTGGAAATAGTCGAGGCTTGAACTAGAGCAGATGTGATGTGGTAAATCATTGTTCTATGAAGGGAAGTCTTCTGTCCAGTGGCTGTGGTTTGGGTTAGTTTACAGCTGGCACAGATTTGTAGTAGGTAACTTAGCTCCCCATTCATTGGGAACTGGAAATCACAGCTAACCTGCTAAGGGCATAACTGCTAGGATGTTGGTGTCACAAATCAAACTTGCAGCAAGGCTCAGACGTGCCATTTACTTCTAAATGAATTTTAAAGCTGGTGAGACATGCCAGATGGGCAGCCCTGGCAACTGAAGTCCTCTGACCCCACACAGATACAGTACGGGGAACGTCTCTACTTAGCCCCGCTAGTGTACCTCACCCTGTCCTGGAGGGACTGCTGCTAGGGAGGTGGGGAGTTCAGGTTCCAGAGCTTATTCGCTTTATGGCCTCTTGTGAGGCTACCAATGTGGGACCAGTTAATGTCAATGGTGTCAACAGTTTGATGTGGACTGAGCTCTACAAAACAAAATTCATGCGATTGAATAGCTGTTGGTCAGTAACAGCTCAGAGTCACTGTTCCCCTAGACAGGGTTAGAGCTAGTGACCTAGTATTCATTCTCCTGATTTAGCCACTGTAAGAAATGGCAATGTTAATTGTGAATTGTATCACCCAAGGCTCCAATCCTGCAGCTGGATCCATCCTCTTATGTTGTGCAAAGACTAGTGAACTTAGAGGAACAATATACGGAAGCAAGAGTTTGCCCACATGAATCCGATTGCAGGGTTAGGGAATAAACTAGCAGAAAGCTTCCCTGAACATGATGGCTCCAGTTTTCTCAAGGCTTATCTTGGCGGTGCCTCAAGAGTCTCCTAATCACAATCAGGAAGATCTGGTACTGTCCATGCACAGCAAAACCAGGTCTTACAGGAAATCACCCCATTTAAATTCCTTCGCTTCCCCCCCCCCCATCTAAAAAATCCTCACTCTGAAGTATAGTGAAGCTACAGATTTCTTTTTAAAAAAAAAATTGAGGACAAGGTAAAACTACTGCCCATTCATACATTTTGTTTTAAAATTGGCTGAGGTGCTTTTCTCCCCCCACATAAAAATGAAAGTAACACTGGTCATACTGAGGCACTGAGGGAAAATATAATTGATGAAACACCACAAAATAAACTGTAAACTTAATATATATTATAAATTATATATTTTTAAAAAAATATTTCCCTTTATTTAATAGCTTATTAAAACTGACATGTTCTGAATCTAATTTCCTTTTAACTATAATTGCTGCCTGTGACTTTTTATTGATCCTTCACTCGATTTAAATAGGGAAACTGCTCTGGCTAGTTCCACTTCTTGGTCCTTAGTAGCACAATGTTGTGATGATTTGAGTTTTCAGCACTGCAGCAAAGCACTTACATTCCTCCAGAGTCTGTACTGACAAATTCAATACATTTTTATAACTGAGTATGTAACAACATATAATACTAAATCTTGGACCCAAATGATATGTTACTTCAAACTATATTTCTTGGCCTAAATCTGTCTGTTTACAAGCAAATCCCTGAAGCAACTAGTTTCGAAGGCTTGGTCTAAAATTGAAAATGGTACCAGTATAACTATTGTCATTGTGGGGCACAGCTGTACTGCTATAAAAGTGCTGTGCTGTTATAATTTCCCTTTCTGTATGGGGAGAAATCACTGTGGCATAGTTAAATCCAGTCTTGTCTACACAAGTCCAAAGTGGCAATGCTGCTGAATTATACACTCTGGAAGCTTGAATGCAGCCTAGTGGCAGGGATATTTGAATTTCATGGAAGACTCCATTAATTATTAAAAGTGCAGCAGATAGAAATTTGTTTGAAAATCCTTTAAAATTACACCTACCTTGTCAGGAAACTGGGGATGGTTTAACTTCACCCACAGACTCCTTCCCCTGGACATGTAGGGAGATGATCCCCTAGTCTGCCTTTTGACTGAGAAGGATTTGGCCAGCCTGTAAAGGAGCTAGAATTACAGGACCCAAATGAAGAATGTTGTTATTCTGAAGGGCCGATAATTCTGTCGCACTCCCCATAGAAACTGGAAAAATCTGTAGAGAACATTCATTTTTCAACTAGTTTTCTCAATTTTGTTACTTTATATGAAAAGCTGCATATTTTTAAAAGTACCTTTTTAAAAAAAAAAAAACCCCTGCAGCGTGATCCCAGACACTGGCTGTCCAGCATCACTGTTTCCCAAGTTTGTCAGCTTATTGTCATAAAACACATGAGTAACAGTGGTGAAACTCAATTGTGGCTGAAAACCTTTCACTTCAGTGCCCCTGCTGGTTAAGGGAAAGGTGGCCTTTTGCAGCTCCTGCATTGATGCAGGGGTTTGAATTTAAAAACTGATTTTGTTGGGTTAAAATGCATTAGAACCAGTACCTTCCCACTCTGCTTTAGTTTTACAAATTAGAAACAAAAACACTACTATTTCATTCTGTCTTTCTCTGCACTGGATGGCTGCAAATGTTCTTGATGATCAGGCATGTGGAACAGCAAGTTTTAATAAAGAATGGCAGCACCTCCACTTTTTAAATGAATGGAGTTTGCTATTGTGTGTGACTTTGGTTTGTGTTCTTAGCTACTGAAGAAATGTATTTTGTTTATTTCAATTGTGTTTAGAGCTGGCTAATCTCTCCCACTCATGGGTTATTTATTAAACTGCTACTTTCCTGTTGCAGTAAAATCCTCTTTGCACTCTCACTCTTCTCCTAACCCATGTGAAACAAGATGGCTTTAAAAATCTGTCCCTGTGATGCTTTTGAAGTGGCTGTGCTTCACTTCTAAACTTCTTGATCCTTTGAGGTGTGCTTTAGGAATTAGAACGGAGAACTGCACATCAGCTCTCCTAGCCTCTTTCCTCCTTGCTCTTACTGAGGGCTGATCTACACACACACTTGCATAAATTGAACTATCCAAGCTTCCTAAAACAGACTTAGTTATTTCAGGGCAAGTCTGTGTAGTTCTATTAGTTAAGTGGGTGGTCAGCTAAGGTCAGTAACTAACTTTGATCCTCAAAGTGTCCAGACAATCTGTATCCCTACCGTTTGCATGTAAATCAGCCCTGAGCTGCTGTCCTCTTGAGTGAATGTGCCCTGCCTTTCTTCTACCCCTTTCCTGCCTTGCCACAACTATCGTGAGGCTAAGAAAAACGGAAAAGTGTTTTACAGTCCTCGAATGAAAAGTGCTGCCGTACTCAGTGTAGAAGTACTGCTACTTAATAACTGAGATCCGCACTACGGGTGCGTCTAGACTGGCAAGATGTTGCGCAAAAACTTGCCAGCTGTCTACATTGGCCACTTGAATTTGCGCAAGAGCACTGACTTTGTAATGTACAAAATCAGTGCTTCTTGCTCAAATACTTTCACGCTCCCGCTCGGGAAAAAGCCCTCTTACGCAAGAGTACGAGGGCCAGGGTAGACAGGGAAGAACTGTTTTGCGCAAAAAAGCCCTGATGGCTAAAATGGCAATCGGGGCTTTCTTGTGCAAAATCGCGTCTAGACTGGCCACGGATGCTTTTGCGCAAAAGCATCTGTGCCCATCTAGACGCGCTTTTGCGGAAATACTTTTAACAGAAACTTTTCTACAAAATCATGCCAGTCTAGACGCAGCCTACAAGTACAAGAAACCACATAAGGTTTGATATAGCAATGGTAGCTGTGGGCAGTGCAGAAATGCTGCAATTATCAAGTGTCCTATCCTGATTAGTATGACTTGTGAATTGCCTCAAATTTGCATTCACTAAGATTCTCCTGTACTTTACAGGCCTCATTGGCA